TTTATTGAGTTATTCCACTGTTTGAGATTAATGTTAGACAACCATACCAGTTTTCCCTAACCATCTTTATTAAGTTATTCCACTATTTGAGATTAATGCTAGACATCCATACCAGTTTTCCCTAACCATCTTTATTGAGTTATTCCACTGTTTGAGATTAATGCTAGTCAACCATACCAGTTTTCCCTAACCATCTTTATTGAGTTATTCCACTGTTTGAGATTAATGCTAGTCAACCATACCAGTTTTCCCTAACCATCTTTATCTTATATCTTTATAAACATCCATTTAGGATATTGTTCTTAATTGGACTATTTAAAGAATTTAGTCTCGTGTAAATCAATTTTCTAATTTCTTTTTTATGTTAGTTAACTTTGCCACTTTTTTAAATTTGGTTCCACATGAATCAATCAGACAAAAGATTACTAATTTAGTTATGGATATTGTATCACCAATAAAGAATAAGTAACACATAATCAGTCTTCTATATTAGATCCAAATTAATAGCTTTGGATATTATTTTAATAACATTGTTTCTCTGAAAACTAAAGAAAATCAATGACTACTTTCACCTACCAATGAGAACAGATAATAACTGTCATTCAGTACAGTTTTTGATACTCTTTTACAAATCTATCCAAACACTTGTTAGACTACAAAATCATATTTATCTAGAAACACTGTTGTGTCAGAGATGGAGTTCATAGACCTAGAAAATTGCATCTTTATTTTAGAGCATTAAATACACAATAGTAACATGTGATCAAAGCTTTTTAACAGTAGCACTTTCCATGCCAACATAGTTAATACGATTAACCCATAATGCTTGACTTAAGAACATGTTAGCACCCATCTCCTAAGCCTAACAATTAAACAAATAGAAAAGTAACCACTGAATAATTTGAGATATACATTTCATCATTTAAAAAAGTTCTACAGCTATAATACAATTTCAAGTTGACTTATTTATAAGCTTAAATCAAATCTCTCCCTCTCAACACACAAACCACAAACTTGTTAATCTGAAAAAAAAAGAAAATTTAGCAGCGATCATTTCTGATAATTCAAAGGTTGGGTGAATGGCTCTTCTTAAACACCCTCTATGTTTTTCTTGCCTAATTATCTTCACAGTTAAAAATCATTTCTAAAGTCTAAGAAATTCCTTTAATGATTAATTTTTAAATGTAAATAACATGAAAAGGAATAAAAACATGAAGGTAAAAAAAAACAGACTTGAACAACAAACTAAGACTTTGCAAAGCCGGCATTTATGATCAATACTTATTACTTATATTTTAAGTATTTTGAGCCCTGTACAGATTTTTCAAGTAGTGCGAATCAGATTCTAGTTAACTCGTGCACGTCTAGAATGATCTTTTTGCACCATGTATGGGTATATAAAATAAGATAAATCAGAGGTGTTAAGTAGTAAAATACAATTTACGCATTATAAGCTATAATTAATTACATCTTTGACTAAATGGGTTAGAGCACACATCAGACCAGGTTAATTGGAAGAGTCTAGTGTAAGCATAGATAAAATATGTCCTTGTTATACAGAATCACTTAAAACCGCATCAATTAATGATTGCGGTCATTTATTGTTCACAGTTTACACTTTAAAAAAATCACGACCACTGTTTTTTTTTTATATGTATAGAACTGATTTTTGGAAGGTTGTCAGCTGCCATATCGCCATATTCACATGAGAATTTATTAACCCAAGCCTCAAGTTTTGTTGTGTTTTTTTGGGGGGGGAGTTCATTATTTTGCCAATTGCAATTAACCTTTGTACATGATGTATAGTTTCTTAACTTATTATAATAAATTTGTTTTAAGCTCATAAGTATCTTTATATTTTGCAATTTTAAGCATATTAATTAAAAACGAAATACACAAGCTTGTGAAAACTGACAAAACCATATGATCAATAAATATTTTCATAAATTTATCTTTAATATATTTCATTGAAGTATTTCCACCGTTCATAATTGTAAAAAAAATTTTCTTAACTGTCTACGGTGTAGTTTTCTGAATTTGTTAAATATTGAACAGTGTTTTCTATCCCTAAATCTTTATCAGTTGTTCTCTATATGAACAATTAGATAAAAGATTGTTACATATGCAATTAAAATGGAAAATAACTGCACACCGTCTATTGTCTTTTGATTTAAAAAATATAAAAATAACATTTCAGAGAAACTATGGTTCAAAAAATAAATATAAATTATTGTAATTTCACATCAAAAAACAGAAAAAATAGGAATAAGATCAAAGACATAAAATAAGAATTTACAAAACACAAATTCACTTCATATCAAAGATAAGTGACAATCAAATTATTATAACTTCTTTTATTCAAATATATTCCAGAATGAAAATAATTTATTTGTTTTGGTATAATTTTTATACTAACTCAAAAATATTGCCTGTTATTATTCTGCTCACTTTATAACCCAGAAGTGAAAAAAATAATAATCTAATAAATTCATTACCATAAAATTAAGCTTTAGTTTCATTTTTGTGTAAATTTCTATTAATAATAATAATTTGATAAATTCATTACCATAAAATTAAGCTTTAGTTTCATTTTTGTGTAACTTTCCAT